GGGGTCGGGGGGAGAGAAGGGTGCAGGGACGAGCGCTTGAGCGAAGAGTGTCGGCAATCGAGGAAGGGATGATGTTCCTTGGAATCGACGTCTTTTCTGGTCGGCGCGTTCCCTGAGAGGCTGTCGATGCAACTCTAGTGCTTCGGAGATGTATTGCACTGGGGAAAAAACGGCGTAAACTTTCGGAAACGATTTGCCTTCCGGTCACTTGTCTGCGCTTTTCTTCACGCTCTGTTTGGTAATACGACTCAGGTGTCAGATAAACGAATGTTGGAAGCAGTAAAGCAACACGCGGGATTTGGAACATAAGGAAATATGGCGAAATCAAATCCAAAGAGACTCTACCTGATGAAGTCGATGATAATGATGAGTGACTCAGGTGGGTCAAGACGATGAAATCGTTACACTATGACGTATTGGACAAAGTGGATGGGCGTTTTGTTGGTTAGAATCTAATGTTCATTAGGAATAATTATTTGAAATCAATGTCAAGATAGTAGCTCCTGTAACTTTCATTACACTCTCTACGACTTTGTACTCACGAGGTAACAAGTAATCGATCTGTGCCAGCACTCAACAAGAGATGTGTGTTCACTCATCAAACTTCATTTATTGCTCCTGGACTACGGTTTTATTGCTCTCCATCATAGCTTTAGCGCGTTGGTCCTTTCGTTTTATTCCGCTGCACATTTCAACGCTCCTAAACGTCCCGCCAGTTTTCTTACCCAATCCTTCGTACCCGTCTCATTGCACTTCCTTCTCCTTTACCCTTTCGTTTACCTCTAATTCGCGTTTGCAGGCGCGCGCCGGTGTGGGTGTAAAATATGTTCATTGCCAAATAATAATAATAATAATAATAATAATAATAATAATAATAATAATAATAACAACAATTATAACAACAAAGATAATAGAAATTTCAGAATTAATAGTCAGAAAAACCTTCTGGCATTATGCATATTTTTTTTTAAATATCACTGTATTAGAATGAAGTGCGCCTTAATAGACATTGACACTACTTGAAGCCCAACTCGGCAATAAGGTGTGGAGCGAGTGGCGCGCGGCTGGCTACATTGATTGCGCGTAATTGCCGCTGCCTCGTTCGCGCCCGCGGTTTTCCAGAGCGGGCCGCAGCAGTGGGTAATTGCGCTGTTATGTCGTGCAGTGGCGGCAATGGGTGCCAAGCCCCGATCCTACGATCGACGGTGACGCTCCGTCCTTACGTACAGTGAAGCGCACACAAAACATCCTTTACAGTAACATGTGAGCAGATAACGTATGCTACGTGTTGAATGTTACACCTCATCCGCCCTGACAAGGGGAAATTAATGTATTCGAATGTTTTGCTTATTGACTGGTTGATGTATTGATTATTTCGTGTCTCGGGACGCGTCAACTGCTATGGTCATTGGTCCTGTTGCATGTTTTTATCACGGGAGGTGGGTTCTTTCGCCGCTGGATGGCGACATCAAGCGCAGACCTACACGTCCGCTTGTGGACTTTCCATATCCAGGTATCTCCCACCTGCTGGGCTCCGCCCCAGCCGGGAGAAGCTGTAAGCTTGCGACTGGTCTCTTGACATGAATGGTAGTGTAGTACATATAAACGCAAGTGAGTGGCAAATACGAGTAAGTAAGAAAGGGATGAGGTTAGGAAAAGGAAGTGGAAGGAAAGATGGCGCGAGTTCCGTGGCCCCTTTGTTGGGGTTCTGATCGAACATTCGCCTGACGCTGATCGAAGAAACCACGGAAAACTACCGGCCCGAGCAGCCGACCGGTAGAGGTCATCTTCCGACTGCGGCTGAATTCGGACGAGCAATCTAGGTATTGTTTAAAATGCTGCCACCGTCGGGACTCGAGCCCTAGCAAGGTCAAAGGCACTGCATTGACATCAGTTGATGCCGTGAGCCATCTCACCGGGCGATTGTTTTGTATATGGAAAAGTTTTGAAAGATTTTTTCGAACTTGATCCCTCGCCGCTGTTGCCCGCCTTCCGATACCTTAAACTATAAATCTGCTTCTAAATCAGGGCTATTCAAACGTAATAACTGGGGCCAGACTGTTATCTGTGACCTGGTGTTGTAGGCTGCGTGACATTGCCTGTCACTAGACTAGAACCGAGCGCACGACTATCGGGCCCCGTCCAGATGGACTGACGGTACTGGCAGTTGCCCAGAGCTTAGCGCTGGGCCGGGGCACGCCAAGTGCCCCGCTCACTTGAACAGCTCGTTGTAAACGTTAAGTTATTGCGAACTTTATTTTTATAATACTTACTATATTTGACGCATTAAAAATCTTTTTTTTAATTTTATTATTTTTTTATTTTAAATTTTAAACATGTTAATTTAAATACGACCTATTTCTAGTAGAAAAAGGAGATCTGATAGAAAGATCTTCAAAAGTATCGTATATATGTTTCATTAAAAAAATTATTTTTAAATTGAAAGAAACGTTTAAGGTAAAATTTAGTAGAATAATTATTACCATAAATAAATTCCATAAATCATTTCTCTTAATTTTTGTGATTCCTCCCTCATTAAATATGTTCTGGTCCCACCCTTGTGCTAGTCACGATTGCCAAACTTCAGGAGGACCATTTTGAAAATTAAAGAAAACTTTTTAAATATTAAAAGTTGATAGCATCAATTCCATTACTGATACTTTATACTAGTAATATTCACTCAAATCACGAAACCACGAAAATCAACAATCAACAACATTAACGTATTCTAAAAGCATCAAGATTTTAATAATAGGCTCTCGAATGCTTCCGTACAAATGGTTTGAATTTCAAATTGGAGCCAACATTTAAAACATGAAATTTTAAAAATTTCATGTAAATATATTTTAAATGTTAACAGTATTAAAATTAATTTAAGACAAATTGTATATTTTGGAGCATACTTATATAAAAGAAATTATTTTAAATATGTATAGTTTCAAGGCTATCATAGTCCCCATGGTCCCGTGTCAAGCTATAATTGGGTCATACTGCAATTTTTTTCGTTGCTGGGCCTGCCAATGGCACCAGTGTATTCTGTTTCTATATTATCCTGCCGCCCGGTCCGTGATCTGCTAACGCTCTTCCTTGTTTTTTACCCTTTCCTCAGTGTTCTTCCTCCTTACTTCTTGAGACTGGTAATGTCGCTGTCCGGTCTCAACGTCCTTCGCCTTGTCCATACAAGCCCTTACCACAAGTGGAAGAGTTTACTTCCTTAAGTCTTTTTCGGTTTCCAACTCACGTCATAACCACATACCTCTCTTGTGACGCCTGTGTAGGTCTAAAGTGATGAGATTTAAGTGAGCTCCTCTCCTCATGTTCTCTGAACTGGCTAAACAGCTTTCACTTCATTCACAAAATTCGAACACGCACACCTCGATAGCGTAACGTATGTCACGAAGCATAGATTATCAGCCCACATCGTCGTATGGAATTTTCATTTCTGCTTCTCTGTGCGTAAGGAGTGATTAGGCATGGTTACACTCGTTAATACACCGTTAAGTTTATATTCGGCTTCAGGATGGCCGAACTCCATTATAGTACAAGGGAAAATTGTGTTTCAGTTGGAAAAATATCCAATTAACTAATGATGCTTCACCATTATCTACGTAGTGATCGTTTGATTGTGAATCGACCCATATAACAAATAACTGGTTCTATTACCTATCACTCTCGAACGGGATATAGTGACAGTTAAACCATACAAATGTAAATGACAAACAGTGTTTTTTCGTTGCCTTTCCCGCAGTGGAGGTTGGCGTGCCTAGCTTTTTACCTTGCCAGGTCGTCGCTGCCCTAGAAATCCTCGGCTTGCGCGCGGTGCAGCGAATACTCCGGTCCATAAAGGCTGTTCAGCCAATAAGCCGGTAATTAAGTTGTTGAGTGGCCCCGGGAAGGATGAAGTCGTTGTGGTTTGGTCCAGAGGCGAGGTGTTACGCGTCAGGCTAGGTCTGGAACGCATTGCGTCTTGGCTCGTTGACATGTCGAGAAGTTGTTTGGTTCACATGAGCCGTTTCTTACGCGCGGCTGTGTACATTGGAAAGGCAGTTTTATTTCCGACGGATCAGAGAGCGACCTCGAAAGGCGACATTAAGTGTTATGTGAATGGAAAAGATTGGTAAATTATGTATTAAACATGGAATGAAATGGGCTGGCGTAACAAGTGCGGATTATCATTTTTATGGCGCGTAGGATACCTTTTTTAATAGTAGGTGTGTTCGCATATGCTATAAAGTTTTTGAATATTCCGTATAGAGAACATTTATATTTTCGATGAATGTGAAATTGTACCGCCTTTTTTCATGACGTGAATATTGAAGTAAATATTTTTTCGCACCTGTGATAAATGTTATTGATTCCTCCGATGAATTCTCAATTTCTCTTTTAACTTTTACTTACCCGATCATTATTAACTGTTTGAAAATAATATTGTTGGAATGAAAATATATTAATTTAATGCAAAGCCTCGTGGAAGGTCAGTCGTCAAAATAACCTACGCGTTACATTCAACTACAGAATCTAAAATTCTACACACAGACCTGGAATGTGCAAAGTATTGTTCAATTATTGTTCTTCATTTCTAAATATTTGGTGATTTCGTTAGTAGATAATCAGCAGATTTTCAAAAAGCTAATGGTTTACTTTTATGGACCACAATAAAATTGGGAACAAACAAAATTTAGTTTATATAAATACTACTATAGAAAACTATATTTCTAACTACAGAATGACTAATTGTTTTAGAATTATTAACACTAATTGGGCATATTACATATATAATAACTATAAATATAAAACTATATATATAACTTTTATTCAATGTAATCGAATCTTCCATTAATGAACATATTTTTGGACCACGAAGTCGTGATGATAAACATTTTGCGATAGAAAATTAATTCCTCTAGGAAATAAATGAAACGACATTGTAGTCATTGTCCACTGCAGTAGTTGATGCCATTTTTCTCTAGTAAAGCCAAACACCTTTCGCAAATGAGTCCTAACTGAGGTAGACCGCCTTCCGAACGAGGCTGCCGAAAAAGTCCTCAGGCCGAATTAACCGAGGCTTCTGCGGTCGCTCTCCCTTAAGCCTGCCGTGCGCAGCGAAACCCGTCCTCCGTCCTCGGCCCTCGCACGTGTGTCGTCGCCGTCCTCACTTCGCGCGGCCGCCTTCTCGCTCGGCGGCGGCCTCACCGCTTCGCCGCCACCGCCGCCGCGCGCACTGTATTTTGAGCTGTTTTGTGAGATTTATGTGATCTCATTTAGGGTATTACGTTCCACCGGAATGCACATATTACCATCCCATGCGTTTTTCACACCAGCTCGGCAAATAGAAATCCAATAGAAGAAGGAGAAGACCCGAGCGCCACGGCGAGCGGTAGACGGTAAATGCGCGGGGCAAAATATGTATTGGGATATTACTCTAATTTGCCTTTAATACAATTTTTTATAGGGTACACTTAAAAATTAAATATATGCCTCTGTTTTATTTAAATTAGATTTAAATAATTCAGTTGTAGTTTTGTCCATGTTAGATGGATGATATTCGGCATCTGATATATCAACTTTGGTTATTTGTCACTTACAGAGACATATGGTAGTACTCATTTGATATTAGAATTTTTTTTTTAAAATAATAAGGGAACTATTGCACAGATTTAGTGTCCCCACGCCCTGACATGAAGTGTTTTTTTTATTCTAAACACAAGCAACAATATATTCTATGTTGAAAAAGATACAATATTTATAGAGTTATTTCACACATTCAATATGACTCTACAGCTAATGATTTTTTAGTATAAACATAAAAGCAACATATTTTGACAATAATTATCTTTGAACTCATACATGTGAATGACCTGTGTGCGCTTTTGCTGTTTATAATAATTGGTAACAACATTCCCACGCCGTATTTTTTTAACATCGTTTTTTATGAATTTCATGGGGTTACATTTTTTTAATATATTCGCTATCTTTTATAACGGTAAAGTAACTTATATCAACTTTGAGCCCCCTTGGTGCAACTACTGACAATCAACACTTCTATGTACATAAATATGTTTGGTCTGGTTATACATCTTGACTGACATGAAATGAAAGTGCACACTATGTAACAGTTTTTGGTCCTGGTTACAGAGTTTTTTTATTTATGTATATCTTGATATAAACAATAGAGTAAACAGTAGAAGACTCATATCCAACCTTTCCCTCTTTTTCTTCGAACTCTCGATGCTGGGACTCTTATACCAAATTGTTTTGCTCGTGGGAGGGCTATCGGGAGTAATAAGAGGATAAGGAAGTTTTGGCTGTTCACGTAATTGTTTCGTTCCTCTTTCTCCGATTTACCGGCGCTCAATTTCTTCAACTTCTGCTCACTGACTTCATAGTTCCAAGTGCACTGTGGAAAGCAGCGGGGCCTTAAGGGAGGGTATTTATTTATGACGATTTCTATATAGCAGAGGGAGTTTGAAGGTCTGTGAAAATAAATACAAGTGCGACAGTGAGAGAAAAAGTAGAGTCCTGTCTAATGAGCAACTCGCTTATGAACATAAGTAACGCACGAAGCTAAAAGGATGATCACGCAAGAGGTTCGCGGCGTGGAAAACGCAGAGATGATTATTTCAGCAATACTTTCTGGTGCACTGCAAGACAGTACTTCTTATCACTTTTACGTAGGGGGTGGATGCTCAAGAGAATAGCTTTCACATTGTAGTAATTCCTAGAAGTATGATTAGTTTTCTCGTCTCTTTGAATGTCGTTCCTGCACTTGCTATATTGACAAAATCCTCTGAACAATATAGGTACATGATGAAAAGCTGTATATCGCACTCGCGGAGTGCTACTTCTTTTCTTCCGGGATGCCCAACCAAGTCACTTATGATGTTCAAGACCGCATTGCTTGCAGTTAGAAGGACGCTTGCAAGCAATGAGATAAAGCGCACCCTTATTGAGGGATTTTGCGCCCAAGAAGTTTATGTAAATTTGAAACGTGTGACGTCACGTTGCGTCTTGTATTTGATCTCTATTATAATTTTTAAAATAGCACACATGAAGAGAAGAAACATATAATACTTTCGTGTTGTGTGCACATGCTCGATGTACAGTCGCACGTATATGTACACTGGAAGATTGTGGGCAGTGGACCGGAGCTCGGCAGCGTGCGGAGTAGTAAGACTCACGTGCGAGAAGAATGGGGGGACAAGTGTTCAGACATTGACTGCGCAAATGGGCTGAGTCGTGGTGACAGGGAGGCAGCGAAGCGGAAGCGAGCTGCGTGCGCGAGTTCCGCGCGCCACGAGACTACTCTCGGCATAAAAACCCAGGAAAAAAAAAATGGGAAACATCAGAATAACAACACACAGGCTAACAATTTAAGTGGTTATGGATTGAAAATATCCACAACACATCCAAACAGTAAGCACGTTCTCCTTTAATCCAGATGACGACGTCGCAAACAGAAATCGGTAGGTCAACCATGACACATCGGCAATTAAACGAAAGAAGAGGGAAATGTAAGGTAAGAACAACTCGCCTACTCTAAAAACCTCACTGGGTAGGATGCACAGTAAAGTATAAGAGAACATTGGCAAACTCACATAACACGCAGTAGCAATACAAATTTCTCACCGCTACGCAGTCAAGGGAGCGTTAACTGTATAGTGGAACAGAATGCAACGCTTTGATAAAGAGGTTCGCCTAAGAAAAGACTATAAAGACATAATAGGCACACGCACCTTTTGTAAATCACATCAACTAAACTAACCTGGGAATGACGACAGGAAATACAGTGAGCAGGTTCTCGGCAGGTTAAATGATATTGAGTACAGTGAATAGAGAACTCGTGTATTTGAGGGAGAAAACTGCAAGACTCAGTAATTCGTACATTCTGGGAAAGACACAACAAGGAAAGGGAGAACTATGATTATATTATTTGCTAGAAGAGAATAGTTAACGAGTAGGATTTTTACGTAAGAGATAATATTAGGTGTAAAGAGCATTGGGAAGAGACACTGTCAGATAGAGGAATGTAATCATGATAGGTCCTGATGTCGGGATCGAGAGCAGATATGCTTACAGGAATAGGGAGGAGCAAAATATCGATAAATTTGTAAGTATAAAAGCTTGTCTGAAATAGATTGTGGAATGGAGAATGGTATATAATTGAGACTAATGCAAGTGAAATATCAGTGTAAAGCTAATGAGTAAAATGCACCAAGTTGATGCAGGGTAGTTTTGGAGAAGAAAAGTAGATAAACCTATGTTTGTCGGGATAGTGAGAGGGGTGATGCAGTTGTGGGCGTGTAGAGGGGTAATATTGAAGTCGACGCTATGTCGGGTATGAGTGTGTGCACAGAGTCATATCGAGTATATGGGGACCACGACGAAGAGGGAGGGGAGGACGTAAAAGAGATGAAGAAAAAAGAATGAAAGAAACGAACAGTTTGGGCGGGGAATGGGAAGAGCAAAGGAATGCGGGGAGCCTGAATGAAGGACGTCGCGACGCGCCGAGGAACTGCGGGGGGCGAGAGGCTTAGAGACGTGCAGCAAAGTCGAGGACGCGGAGGGGGACGAGGAGGGGGAAACGAGGAGGACGCGACGCGTCGCGCGCCGAAGACGAGGCGCGCCGCCGCCCCGCCCGCGCCTCCGGCGCCGTCCTGTCTGCCGCCCCGTCCCCGCCCCCGTTCGCCGCGCCGTCCCTGGCCCACTTCGCACCGCGCCGCGAAGCGATGGCTCGCTGCGCCCGCTCATATACATACAAATTGGCCTGGCGCGGCCTTCGTAATTCTCGACTAATGATTGGTTGCGGCGCTGAAATTGTGGCTGCCGGCCCGCCCGGCCCGCCCGGCTGGCTGGCTGCTGGCTGCTGGCTGGCTGCGAGCGGGCGGTGGCTCCCCGCCCGCCCTGCCAGTATTGGTTCCGGAACGGGGGCCGCCCTCTTGCAGGCGCGGACGTCGAGGCGCAGTCCGCGCCGCGCCGCCTGCGGAATACCAATGGCGCCTTTGGGGACAATTGCTGCAGCCCCGCAAGTGGGCGGCAGAGGCTGGAGGCCCGGCAGGTTGAACGGGA